TTCGTATTTCCGTATGATCATATATATAAGATTGGTGGCTCAATTGGAAACAAAGAAAGTAAAACTTTTTTCTAATCCAAGTTTGAGTTTCAAATCACATGAACATATAAATTTTTTTTATTCTTTTAATTTAGAAGATGTAATTTAACTAAAATTACGATGAATTTACGGATTATAATATATATATATATATATATAGGGTTAACTTGAAAAGAAATTTATGATATTTGGATGCAATTTTTAATGAATTTCAATCTAACCATTTCTAAATAAATATGACACAAATGTTTTATTAATATTGAGAGTAAATGATATTCAGCTTTATTATGAATATTCATTTAAATTAATATCTAAAGGTTGGAACCACAGCATATCTAATTCGACGGCGCGGTGCAAAAAAAATACACGAATAGGTTTGGCTAATAAATACAGTGTTGAAAAACCATGCCAAATGTTCTCAATAATTCAAAGCATGGGTCTTTTTTTTTTTTAAAGAAAAGGATGGGCCCTATTTGAAACTATGGATGAAAAATGCGGCCTTTTCCTTTTAAAAAAAAAATTTGTTTTGCGATTGATTGAACTTCCACCCACCGTACGGTCCAAAAATTTTAATTATACCGATCCCAATTTAAATTCGAAAATCTTAGGATCCTAAAACACTAGATTAATATTACTTTTTTAATTCATTTTAACAATAATTTTATCAATAAATCAGATGATTTTTTCATAAATAATTTTATCTTAAATCGAATAAATTAAGCTCAGTAATAATTTTTTAAATAAATACAAAAAAATACTTGATTTTAGAGTTTACCAAATAAAATCTAGAGTTATAAATAAATCTAAATTTTATAACAATTATCATTTTAAAATCTATCACTGATACAACGTGCCAATATCATAACATATAGATGATAACGATTCAAATATGATCTAAATATTGACTTGTAGTAGAATATGAATATATCATGTTATAATTTAGATTTAAAAATGACAACGATTATAAAGCATAAATTTATTTTCGGCTGAACAATGATGTTGAGATTTTATTTGATAAAAAACAAAGTTTAGATTTTTTTTTTAAATTGAGAAATTTAGATATTTTTTTTTAAATTTTTTTATCTTACTACAATAGTGGCTTTGTTAATACGTATAAGCAGTTAGGCAAATTTTGAAAGAAAATTCGAATTTGAAATCGGAATCCGTTGATATTATATTTTTAATATTTCAATCCTATTCAAAATAATTCAGATACCATTTTTGGGAATGATTTGGGCAATGGCTATTTTCCCCAACCAATAAGAAACTATCTATACATTTAGAAAAATTGATATAAACGTCCATGAAAGTTCGATATCTTATCTGCCTTGAAACTGTATATATTTCTAATAAATTTTTTTTAAAGGCAGAGAAATTACATAAAAATGCTGAACATGCGATAAATGTGTAATCGGCACAAGAAAAATAAAAATGTGCAATAGTATCTCAATAGTGATGCACCAGCTATGATACAATAAATGTGTTATATATATGTATATATATATATATATATATATATATGGATACGAGCATTTTTTATATAGATTTATGTGTTTTTGTTTTAATCTTATTGTAGAAAACCCAACGTCCGAAGCTCAAAACATATATATCACAATTATTTTTTTCGATTCATTCATTATATAAAATAACCAGAATCCGAACACCACTATAACTATATGAATTTTTGACTTATAGATCTATGCATTTTTAAAATATCTTTTTTTAAATCAAAATTTGGATGGTTTAGCAGTAAGAAAATATATAAAACATACTTTTATCCTAAATTTAAATGCAAATATAGAAATAAATATTAACCTGAATTCTCCCGCGATAAAATTTCCGATTATAAAAAAAACCATAAGATTGGACTTCCCATCCGTACAAGCCGTCGTAAGGGTCTGTCCAAATATCAATCCAACAATAAAGCCCATTCAAGGCCTAAGTAAGCCTAAAATTATGGGTTTTATTCAATCCAACAATAAAGCCCATTTAAGGCCTATTTTAGACCCATCACTTTCCGTTCTAATTTGGTAATTTCTTTTAATAGAATCCGATAAATCGTTTTCGAATTAAATTCGTTAAATACGGAACTAAAATTCGAATTATCTTATATATATATATATATATTATATTTGGTATTTATTTGGTATTCATATAACGAGATCGTTTCGAATCGAACCGAACCGTTTAAAATTCGATTCTAATTTGGTATAATTTTTATAAAACCGAAAATACCGCGTGCATATACTAGTTTTTGGTGATATATGATAAAGTATATCATGAATTCGCTAGAACAGAACAAAAATTTGAAAATGGCCCACCATGTGCAAATCCATACAAGTTCGGGATCTCAAACGATGTACCCTTTCGTATTTCCGTATGATCAAAACCTTCCAAATGTCAGGGAAACATTCTCAAACAGTGAGGAGGCGTCAAAACAACTCTCTCTCTCTCTCTCTCTCTCTCTCTAGAAATCGCATCACGAAAACAGATCAAAAACAAGGAAAAAGTTCGGAACTTTAATTGGACCCAGAAAACTTCAGACAAAACCCAATCATACATGACCATCAAAGAACAGAAGAATGAGAGAAACACCATCAAATTTTCATGGTATTGGGAGAAAAAACTGACCTTGGTTCGCTGAGGGTCATGGGCTTGGTTCACCCCAGGGGGCGATATCAGACATGGTCAAGGGTCCTGTCTGATCCACCCAGGTTTAGTTACAGAAGAGGAACTTGAAAGAGAAGAGACAGACAAAGAACTTAGATCGCCGTCGCACGTGAGGATGATCGGTGGCAAGATTCCGGCGGCCCAACAATTCAAACAAGTTCCATCTCTCTTACAAAGATTTTCAATTTACATACATACATACATACATACATACATACATACATACATACATA